CATTTTTCCCCTCCCTCCCCGCTTCCCCCTCCCTAGGATTTCATTTTACTTGGATTCACCATCAGTGCATGGAAGCAGCAGTCAAAAAATCAAAGAACATATTGTATTGGGAAAATTTGCTGCACAAAACCTCTTCAAAGTGCTAAAGACCAAGTTTGTCACTCTGAGGACTAAGTGCACCTAACCTAAGCCATGGCATTTTCCATTGCCTCATGTGCATGTGAAAACTGGACAGAGAATAAAGAAGACCACAGAAGAATTTAGGCATTTGAATTATGGTGTTGGCGAAGAATATGCAAAGAAACACGGATTGTGAGAAGAGCAAATAAATCTGCTTAAAATAACTACAAAGAGAATGCTTCTTAGAATCAAGAATGACAAGACTTCCTCTCAACCCTGGCAAAGGACATCATGCTTGGTCGAGTCAATGAGACACATTAACACAGTAGCTGCTACAATGAGCTCAACTGTGGAAACAATTTTGAGGATGGTGTATTATCAGACAGTTTTGTTGTTTTGTACAAAGGGTTATTAAAGAGCACAATCAACTTGACCTCGTCTGACAAATATACCACAACCTACATCTTATATCATCTCCAGGGAAGACATACCCCACTGTGAGTGTTTAGAAGCTCTGGACTCTTGCATTTAAACTAGAAACCTTATGCATACTAATGTTGATAGAAAAGAAGACAGTAAAATTTACAACTGCCACACAAAAGTTGAAATATTTAGGAATAAACATAACCAGAGAAACAAAAGACTTAGGTAAAGACACAATAGAATACTACAAGAAACCAAAATAAATCTTCAAAGAAGGTGAAAAATTAACTCCTAACTTCATATGGAGAAGGAAGAGACCCTCAGATAAGCAAAGAACTTCTTCAGAAGAACAAAGCAGGTGCCTCTCACTGCCTGGCCTCAAAACCTATTACATAGTCACAGTAATTAAAACAGTCTGGTACTGATGCAATCGATATGATACACAGACCAATAGAACAGAACAGAGAACCCAGAAATAGATTCATCCACCTGCAGATGACTACAATTTGACAATGGGTCAAAAACCATTAAATGGGAAAGAGATGCTGATAGCATTGGACACCCATCTGTAGATGAATGAAGCAGGACCCATACCTCAACCCATGTACAAAAACAAACTCAAGATGGATTAAAGACCTAAATATAAATCTCAGAGCTGTAAAGATCACCAAAGAGAAAATTGGGACTAACGTAAGGGTCCTATTGCAGGGCATAGATACACTATAAAATATTATGAAGGAACCACATACTGTCGATGAACAAATAGATAACTGGGATCTATTAAAAATAAGACACTTATATGTATCAAAAACTTCATCAAAAGAGTAAAAAGAGAACCCACACGTGGAAGGGGACATTTTTTGATAATGACACAACAGACAAGAGGCTAATCTCTAAAATCTATAGAAAACAGCAATATTTCCGTAAGAAAAAGGCAACCCAATTAAAAAGTGGGCAAAGGACATGAACAGACAGTTCCCCAAAGATGGCATCCGAATTGCCAACAAAAATATGAAGGGATGCTCACATTTGTTAGCCATCCAGGAGATGTAAATAAAAACAATGGTGTGATACTATTTGTATTAGACAGGGTTCTCTAGAGAGATAAAACCAGATTGTTGATAAGTTTATATATATATTTATAAAGATAGTTAGATATATATAACACAAGAAATGAACTATTAAATTATATACAGATAGATAGATATATAATACAAGAAATGAACAGTTAAATTGTAAAGTAGTACAAATGGCTGAGTACAACTCACTCCCGTGAGAGAGTTGTGAGACACTAGCAGTCCTTCAAGTCTATAAGAGCTGCCAGGTAGTCCTCTATAGAGAGAGCTAGGCTATCTCAGCACAGGCAGCAAACAGCAAGGCAGGTCACCAACTGTCAGCCAGGTCACCAACCGTCAGTCCCCAGCTCCAGAGATGT